TGATCTCTGATCAGCATGAGAAACATTTGCCATTTATTTAGATGTTAGCTACTTTCATCATTTTGCGCCTCATTTTGGTATACTGTTTTGTAAGTTATAAGGAAGCATCATTTGGGGTGTACTTTTTAATTGATAGATCAGAGTGATAAACGGTAGTTGATAAGCTGGTTTAAGTCATCTAGAACAAGAGAATTCCCTAACTTTCTACATTAAGATACTCAACTTTCATTAGAGCGGGAAAACAATACTTGCAAGGTTTCAAGCCCTCAAAAGTTTGTAAACCGTTGTTGTGTTAAATTCTGAGCTTTTTGAACTTTCACCTATTCTTGCCAATGCAGCCATAGAACCACATAAACATAGCGACTCTTATTGTTTGAAAAGCGTGGGCCGTAGCATGCATTGACCGAGCATTGACAATCGACTATCGATAGTCGGCTGCTAATGCTCTACAGCTGCTGCTGCCGCTGCAAGGCAGATGCACAGCACAGAAGTAACACTGAGTAGGAGACTGGACGGCTTTTGTTGTTGTGAGTGCTTGCTAACTTTTCCTCCATCTCACTTCGCAGATCTCCCCCGTAACCAGAACGCTCACTTAAAAACACACGCACTTCAGCAACTGAAACAGTCCTCACCAACAAGCGTGGAGAGGTTGGGGTGCTGTTGCTGTTCTGCTTGGCCCCTCCTGACCACCTCCTCACCACGCCAACATGGACAGACTGCCACAGAAGACCGGTGGTGGTGGTCGTGGTGGCAGCTTTGGTCGTAGCAGATTGATCGTGCCACAGCTAAAACCCAGTAAAGCCCGCCAAAGTGGACCCCCTCCTCCTCTTTCCACTACTCCTTTACCGTCTAATCTCAATCACCATCAGATCCATCAGCCGCAAAAGACCCGAATGGCGCCGGCCAGCAGTGCAGCAGTAAACAGCAATGGACTATTCAAAGTGCCGGCTGCGCCACCGCCGCCGCCGCCGCGACCGCCTCAGCCAGTTCACACTNCATCAGCCGCAAAAGACCCGAATGGCGCCGGCCAGCAGTGCAGCAGTAAACAGCAATGGGCTATTCAAAGTGCCGGCCGCGCCACCGCCACCGCCGCCGCCGCGACCGCCTCAGCCAGTTCACACTGCCAGTTCGGTTGCGAAGTCAGCAAAGGTCGGCAAGCAGCATGTTGTTCCTGCGGCAAGACCCCCCACCATTACCAACAACAAGACTCCAGCAAACGCCGCCGCCACCCGCGGCCCAAAGTACAAGAGGAACCCAATGTTCCTCCAGCTGATGGACTTCATGGGCACGGCGCCGGCCACGGAGAGCAAGTGCATGGAGCAGGTGCTGCTGCTGCTGCGCCTCTTCATCAACTGCGGCAAGCTGCCCGACTCGACGCTGAAGAAGGGCTTCGAGTTTCTCGGCCGCCCGCTGGCGCCCTGCGTCCGCCAGGCGGGCGACACCGACCAGTGCAGCCGCATTACCATCTACTGTCGCTGTGTGGCCATCCGGACGCTGGCCGCCATGAAGAGCATCGTCATCGGCCCGGCCACCGACCCGACGACGCTGGCTGGCTCTTCGCAGCGCTTCCTAGTGGACTCAACGCTGGCCGAACACCGGGTCCTCGTCGGGCCGCAAAGCAAAGCCTTCTTCTGGGAGAAGAAGGCCAAGGAGGTGGCCTTTCATCTGCGCTCCCTGTACCGAGTCGAGGTGGAGGTGGAAAACGAAACAGCCGATGAAGTGGAAATGGACAATGCCGCAGTGGAGTCGCAAAATGAGCCGTCGCTGAAACAGCAGCAACAGAAAGGATCTTCTTTTGAATCCTCCTCTTTTTTCTCCCCCTCTTTTGCATCTTCCTCGTCTGTTGCTGTTGATATAAGTCTTGTCAAGAATCCTCAGCCTGAACTTGGTGTTGGTGTTAACTATATGGATATGGATTGCGGTGCTGGGGAGTTTAATAGCTATTCGGACAACGATGATGATGGCGACAACAACAACAACAACTTTGTTAGACGCCTTGATCCGTTTCTTCTTCCTAGTACCGGTAAGCTTTCGTTTCTTGAAAACAAAAACAATCTATCTAACACGTGTTTTTTTCTCTTTTTAGATCAACTTCAAAAAGCCAACAAGAAGATGCATTTTTGCGGCGAGAATGCGTCCAGCCAGGACACATCCGCAGTTCCGCTGAACAATGGCGGCAACATGGACATTGAAGATGATGACGACGAGCCAGTGAGATTCATTCGAACAAAGGTTCAGGCTCAGACATCCCTTTACCAGCAGCCTTTACCGCCCAGTCGACGCCTGTCCACGGGTGGCCTACCCTCCAACATGGCCCCGAAAAGCAACGACGACTTTTATATTCCGCCACAGATGGGCACACTGGCTTTTGATGAGTGGTGCAGTAGAGAAAATACCACCGCCGCCACTCGTGCGGGTACCTCTGCTAAGGATGTTGCTTTTTCCTCATCTTCTGGTACTACTGGCACTACTACCCAAAAGTGCTTCATAATGAAAGGACAGAAAAACTTTGCAACGACAGCTGACGTCAGACCGTCGCCAGTGGTGACATTTACTCCGACTAAAGTGGGCTCAAAATCTGCCGTACCTTCCTCCTTCTCCTCTTTTTCAGTATCTTCATCATTACTAGCAGGCAAACCAAACGGCAGACTCGTTGCTCAGCAGCAGTTTTTAGCAAAGCAATCAAAACCGATTTTCTCTGCTGGAGTCACCGTTGAACAAGTTTCTCCAAAGGGTAGCCCTGCTCACAAAAACGTTATTTCAGCCAACGAAACATTTACCCAAACATCTGCCCCAACATCAACTTCATTTGTAACTGATAACGACTTGCCAGTCTCACACAAAAATGTGGTTTCACTCAACCAAAAGATCCGATTTGTTGCTCAAGGACTAAAACAGCAGAAAAAACAGCAAAAACTGAAACATCTCAATGATATCAGAGAACTTGAGCAGCAGCAAAATCTGGAGCATTCCGCCAAACAGGTGATTAAAACAGGAAACCAGGCCACTAGCAACTATGTTCCAAAATTCGATTTTTTTGGTCCTTTGAGCGCAGTGAAAAAGGCCAAAAAGTATCTGGGTATGGAAAAGGTACGAAAAATAGAACAAGAAGAAAGAGAAAATTCAGAGCGAAAGAGAAAAGAAGATGAATTAGCTAAACAGGCTAGTAAAAAGTTGATGAAAACCAGTTCAGCCAAGAGTCCAGCTCAAACTCCTGTTTTAGCGACAGGTGGGGAAGTCAAGCAAAGTCGGCTGCCAGAGTCTGCAAAACACAGTGTCAGTAACAACACGTCAGCTAGCGGCTCACCATCACCATTACCATCAACACCAGTGCCTCCAGTGCAGCGAACTTCACTAAAGCTCCGTTTGCGAAAAATGATATCCAGCGACGGCAATGATGAGGTGTACTCTTCAGAGCACATTGAGAACTTGAGTTATGTCGCAAAGTCTGCTGATGATTACAACAAGGAAACTAAAGTGAGAACTGAAGCTGTAACAGCATCCACAGAAAAGAAGTCAAAATGCTATCGGAAAGTTGATCTTTCACAGCACAACACTGCCTCAGCAAAGGTTCCTCTCACGACCACTATTAAGCGAGTCTATGACAGTGATGACAATGATGACCCTGATAAACCAGATGACAATGACAACAACATCAATGCTGACGACAACGAAACTGTGGACACCGGGGACAGTTTTAGCAAATCTTCTGCAAACGATTTTGCTAGCACCTCAGTTGACAATGCAGCCTCGATCACTGAGACAGCTGCCAAAAGTGCTGATGCCGAGAACGCAAATGCAAAATTATTAGCAAATGAACTCGTTTCAACTGAAATCTCCGTTTTTCATTCTGCAAGCACCTCAGCTGATAATGCTACTTCAAGCTTTGTTGTTAAAAATGCTGATGCAAACAGCGGAGAAAAGAAGGTGGCTACAAACGACAATGAAACCAGTCAATTTCCTAAAACTCAACCATCTACCAGCACCTCAGCTGACGACCAAGTACTGAATACTACTGCCACTAAGAACAAAAATGGTCTGCTGACATCGGAAGAAGGGGCAGCCAACAATGCGCCCGTTCAAAAACGAAAGCGAGGTCGTCCACGTAAGGATGAACAGACAAAGGCGGCAGATCTGCAGAAGAGGCAGCAGGCTAAAGCGGAAGCGGAAATTGCTGCAGCAACTGCTACTGATAGTACTGAGGCCGCCGTTGACCCAAACCGACGAATGTCCGCTCGACGAAAGGCAGTGCCCGAAAAGGCTGTTTCCGAAATGGTCAAACCGACGACGCCTAAAACGACGCCTTCTTTTACTTCGACTGTGACGTCAGCACCTGCAGTGGATGGCGTCGTTTTGGTCAAACGAAAACGTGGTCGCCCGCCCAAATATCCTCGACCGGAAGTGCCGCAACCCGTTGCCAAAACTGCCATTGAAAGCCAGGTAGAGTCAACGCCTGCATCAGCTGAAACGGCAGCATCGGAAGGTGATCTGGCGGAAAAGCTGAACGAATCTGAAGGACAGCTGGACAAACTGCAAAAGTTGCCAGTAAGCGCAGCGGAAGACGATGTTGCTGAGAAAGTAAACAGCTCTAAAGAGCAAGCAAAATCAGCAGCTGTTTCGGAACAAACAGCCGAAAATGACGCTGTTGAAAAGTTAAACAGCAGTGAAGAGGTAAAGTTGGAATCAAAGATGCCAGCACGGAACACAACAACAGACGATGATGTTGCTGTTGCTTCTGAGAAACTGTTGAGCAGTACTAAAAGCACGGCTCCTTCTAAATCACCACCAACTCTGGAACCAGTCGTTGCCAGCTCAACAAAGTTTTACTGCCTTGGAAGCGCTAAAAAGCAGTGGTTATCTTCCACACTGCAGAATTTGAATGAAATTGAAGTTTCAGAAAGCGATCACGACAGCCAGCAGTCACAGGCAACCGAGTCAGTGGCAATCACAACAATTAGAAAGAGTCTCCGAAAAAAAGCTTCTCGTCAGTTTTCTTCAGCTGAAAAACAGTCAAAGCCATTAGAGGTACTTTCTGATGATGTGCAGACTGACCAGCCTACAACCTCTACTGCCGTTAATGAAAAAGAAATAGTGAAGGAAGCAGTTGTTGAAAAAGAGGTAGTGGAGCAAAATGTAAATGACAAACCTGAACGAGAATTTCTGGAAATCTGCTCTAATGAAGTTGAGCAAGTTGCAGGAGGGGAATCTCCTAAAACAGCAAAAGTTGCCGCACCTTTAACCGAAAAAAACGACAATGTTACACAGTCTAATCAAGGAGAAAGGGCAAATGAAAACCTCGTTTCAGCAAAACGGAAATCTCCAGAATCAGATGCAGAAAGTGATGCCAGCTTGAGCTTTTCAACTCGACGCAGCCTACGCTCAGTTAAATCCACCGACTACCGCTCAATGAACAATGGACAACTTTCAAGTTTTCCTGAAAAGGAAGTAATAACAACGGCCAGCAAAAGATCACTCTCCTTATCCTCACTTAGCAACTTTCCAGCCGGCACAAGCAAAAAACAGAAAGTGACCAAAGAAGCTACAAGAGAGGAGGAGGGTGAAGACATTAAAATCATCACCCGAAGCCTTGATTGCCGTGTTTGCCAGAAAGGATTTGCTAGCAAAAAAGAGCTCTACCCTCACTTGTACGTCGATCACAAGCAATATAAGTTTTTCTGTATTTACGGTTGTCCACGAATCAGCTTTGAAGATACGTAAGTGAAAGAGAATGATTTTAATTTTATTTTAAAAAAAAGTTTTTTTAACTAAACGACTTTCCATTAACAGTATCATGTTGCACAAGCACATCCGTTTGAAGCACCATTTGAACCTTGCCGATCCGGCTCCTTGGAAGTGTTTCTGGTGTCCTAGCACCACTGAGCAGACTTATCACAAGCATGACTCCTACTACAAACACTGGCGGTAAAACACTCACTCGCCCCTTACAATTAATTACAACTCTGTGTTAAACCGACCACCTTATTCTAACCTCTGTCCACCTTTTCTTCATCTTTTTCTTTCTTCAGAAATGAACACCAAATGGGCAGCTACAGTTGCTCCTCTTCGAGGCCGTGCAGTCGCAATGAGTACCCGACGCGCATGGACGCCGAGGCGCACCTGATGCTGATGCACAAGACGTCCGACCGACGGCGAGGCATCCTCGCACAGCTCGGCATTGACGTCGCCAGCGCCACCGAAGAGGAGGTCATCGCCGCGCTGAAGGAGCATCCCCAACTGCTGCCCTCCTTTGGAAAGGTGGACATCACCGTGAAGAAAACTGCAACCGACAACACTTCGACGGGGGTGGTGCAACAGTCCAACGCTGAAAGGAACGCTATTGATAAGGGCAGTGCAGCTGCAGTCCTTTCATCTTCTGTGCCTTCTACTTCTTTTTCTTTTTCTTCAAATGGCACTCCATCAAAGGCAAAGAGTTCAACTTCTTCACCTAATCCACCATCATCGTCATCATCCTCGACGCCATCTTCTGCCTCGACGTCCAAAAATGGAGCAACCAGCTCATTGAAAAGGCAGTTTCAAAGCACTACCTCTTCCCGACCATCAGAACGAATTGCCAAAAGAAACCGCCAGAGTTTGGAAAATACGGTTACCGCTGGTGTTGTTGATTTCGCCAGTGCTGCTGTCGCTTCTTTCAGCAACAAACAGAGCGAGTCAGTGGAAGCAAAGGATGACAGCAAAGTTCACGTCTTCCAACGCCGCACTCTTGATTTTCTCAAATCCAAAGTGCCCAACTACGACCAACTGACGCCTCAGCAGTTTGACCTGTCTCGAACCAAGGGTGCACCAAGAGAAAAGACGCGCAACTGTTCCTATTTCTGTCTCTGGCCATATGATGAACAAGAAAAGAAAAAGGGCCAAATTAAAGAGTGCTCTTTTAGGAACAACCAACAGTGGAACACGGACGCGCACATTCGCAGTCAACACTTAAAAACGGCCAAGGTTAAAGAAGAGGCCATAAGGGAGATATGTGAAAAAGATTTGGAAGTGTTGACAAACACATGGAAGCACATTCACTTTTACGAAAAACCCTTAGAGAATGAAAAAAAGTAAATTTAAAGCAGTATATAACAGCACACTAGCTTTTTCAGTTAATTCTGGTGTGTCAACAGCTAACCTGACAGAATCTCAAGATTGAATTGCACTCTTTCCTCCTGCACTACTTACTGTTCTCAAATTTTTCACTTTTTAACCCTTAAACACATACAAAACTAAAATTTCATATGTGAATCTATTTTGGAACAATGTTGTCGCACTTAATTAATCAGTTTTTTGTACTTATTTATCTTTTCATTATGAACGAAAACTTCTATTTTATGCTTATAAAAGTAATAACGCCACTTATTGTTAACACAGTATGCAGTTTTGTAAAGAACATTTTCTACATTTCTGTTGCAGCTACATAACCGGTTGTCTTCAATTTGTGGCATTTTTATTGAAATACATATTTTTACACCTAATAAAAACTAAACATCAAAACTTTGCAAACAGTTTCTGGTCTAATGGTTCGATTTGTGGCAATTGTAGCAGCAGTTTTAACATAGCCGTTGATCATTGACTGACGCAGGCACCGTCACTTCAAGACCATCCAAAGCTTTGGTAAGCGGCACTTGACATCCAAGACGAGACCTGAAGTCAGAATGGAAGCATTTTTTATATTGTTGTTTTTGAAAATAAGACAACTGATATGATTATCATCATCAATATCATCTTTTTTGCTTACGTTTCACAGAGATCATAGGCCAAATCGAGCATGTCCATCTCCTCGTCGGCCGGTCTCTTGGGCAGTTTATCGTAGTCCTCCTTGCTGAAGATGAGGTGACAGGTGGAGCAGGCCAGTGTGCCCTCACAGGCGCCAAAACCGTCAATGTCGAGGTTGTTGTCGGCAACGACGTCCAGCAGACTTTCACCTTCACGGCCCTTCCCGCTCACCTTTTCACCACTGGGCAACTTGAAAGTCACTGTTATACTGTTGGTAGTGGTGATGCAGCAAGTTAAAGTTAAAGCAAAGCACACCAATCATTTTCTTGCTTCTTTCTCTTTCTTACTTACTTTGGTACTTCACGTTTCTTGTTAGCTTTTGGCGTAATGACGCGGAATCCCTCCGGAGTGGTGGACTCGTTCATGATGCTGCTGGAGTTCGTTCCAGAGGAGTTGTTGCTGCTGCCAAAGTGGCGGACATTTTCAGTGGTTTTGCCATTTGAGCCAGCGCAGTGTGCCGGTAAAGGAGATCTGGTGCTTGCCAGCCTGAACAAATTTGCAGCAGTATTTGAGCCAGCCAAACGGGTCAAAGTGTTTAAAATGAGCATGATGTTTGAGATTCTTGAACTGGCAAAAACGCGTTGAGAAAGCAAACAGTTCAGAAATCAACTGAATGTCACGTGGTGAAGACACTTGAAGGCACTTGGCGGTAGTATCACTTTCCTCGTTTAAATTAAGCCAAAACACGCCAGAACAGTAATAATACAAGGATAAGAAGGATTAGGTGAGTTTCGGTTGATTTATGTGTCGTTAGAGGTTTAGGCAATGGTGGGCCAGCAGAACAGGTTTGCTCAGAAGTTGTTGGTCAATCAGAAGAAGGAGACGATCAAGTACTCATGGGCTGCTAAATAGCACGCACATCTTTTTCGCACTCGGCAACAACACACACACACACAAACGCATTTACAAAGCTAATCCTGTGCTTGTGGTGGGGGCCTGGTGCCCCTCTCTGCACTGGTGCCACCTCACAAACAGCAGCAAACACACCTTTTATGAAACACTCCTAATTTTTTCTGTTTTCACTTTTAAAAATGCCCGCACAACAGGCAAAAAATGTGTGCAATTGGTTGTGTTTTATCCAAAGTCATGATTTTAATGTGCTAAAAAATGTTTTTAGTCATTGTCACCAAGAGGTCATCACAAGTCAGTGGTAGTGCAAAGAAGTGAAAAGTAGTGTGTGTGTGTGTGAAGTGAAAGTTTGAAAGTGAATATCACCATTGTCGGATTTAAACTTAGCTCAGCATGTTTTTTCAAATATTTTTTTACAAACGTAAAGCAGTCCAATTTTGTAGTTTTTAATTTTAAGGTAGATTTTTGTCATCAGAGATTTTGAATTTGCGGTACGCAGGAAGTCTAGCAAAGCAATGAAAAAAATATTAATTATAATTATTACAATGTAGCTATTTGAGTGCAATAAACAAAATTTTTTTCACTTTACTTACAATAAGCTTCCGCACTAAATCGAGAACCTGCTCCTTGTGCTGTGTGTAGGCCTGTTTTAGCTGCGGCAGTGCGCTGAAACCCTTTTGCATGGCGCACTTCTTAATCTGCTCTAACATTACCCGGTCGCACATGTTTGCAGAGGGATTCAGTTTGCCGAAACAGGAGTCCATTATCATCCTGTACTTGGTCGGGTAGAGGCTTGCCTGTAAGCAAAATTTTAATTTTTTTTAATTTTTAAAATAAAAAAAGTTTAACTTTTTTAAAATTACCGGAAGAAGATTGCCCGCTTTTGATAAAATAGGCTCAGCGCAAGATGCTGCCGTGGAGAGAGCTTTTGACACGGCGACGGCTGCAAAAAAATGTAAATTTCAAATAGATAAAAAAATTTTAAAAAGTTACAAGTTTTTCAAATTAAAATTTGAAGATTTAAAAATTACGTTTTGATTGACATTTGGCTTGGATCGTCTGAAAGACCTTGGCGCCTTCAGTCATCAACGCCTCATCACCGGCATCCGCTCGAACTAGCGGAAATAGTAGCAGTAAAAAAGTAGAACATAAGACGACCAGGGCGACCTCGAAAAAAGCTTTCAGAGTGTTCATGACTGGAATGTTGCTGATGAAATTGCTCAAATTTAAATTAAATAATGAAGGAAATATTATACAATTTGGTGATGATGGTACGACTTGTAATTTTTGACTGTGCGCCTCTCTGACTTTAGCTGATCTGATTGGTGGACAATTTTGCGTAGTTTTTGGAATACAAAAACAAATGCTGTCAGGTCAAGGCAAGTTTATTGGCCGTCTGTAGAGGCTTTAAAAAACAAGGTTTTTCTGGTTGAGAGGAAAAGAAGCCGTTTCTGGCACTGTTGCGTCTGGTGCTGTGAATGAGTGAGTCGAATGAAGCGTAAAGCTGGTGAAAGTTGGCAAACAAATTGAAAGAGAGAAAGAAAGTGAAAGAGACAAACATTTAACAAACACAAAACACACCTGACAATTGTGATAATGTAAAATAAAAATAATATAAAATGAAAAAAAGTGAAAGTGTCCACCGCTGAACACCGTTGAACTGGTAGTGAGCCAGTTGACGGCCAATGACGACGCATAAATAGGTAGTTCACTGCCAGTGGCACAAAACGGGTGAAAGGAGAGGGGAGGGAAATGGGAGGGGGGCACAGACGATGCACTCGGACACAAAAGGGACACAAAGAGGACGCAATGAANAGGTAGTTCACTGCCAGTGGCACAAAACGGGTGAAAGGAGAGGGGAGGGAGATGGGAGGGGGGCACAGACGATGCACTCGGACACAAAAGGGACACAAAGAGGACGCAATGAAACACAATGAGAGGACTCACACACACACACACACACTCCTAATGTCAACAGGGGGAAACACACATGTAGACACACTGGATAACTTTCTGATAACTCGCTTTTAGGTTGCAGCTGCCATTTGCTGTTTCCAACAGAAGCAGCACTGTCAAGTTCAGTAGTTGTTTAGTTTAACCAGTTTGGGTTAATTAGTATAAAAAAGGTATAAACGGTGTATTAGATGATGATCAAATTATCGAAAACCCGTGTGACACCTGGAAAAATATGGCTACCTTTTTACGAAACGAATGCGTTACACGCACTTGTAATTAAAGTGGATTACATAGGGTTTATTTTATTCAATATAGCAAAAAGATGATCAATACTATTTTTTACCTTGAATATAAAAACGTTAAAGATTTTAGCCTTCATTTTTTTGTTTGAGGGGTATTTTCAATGCAGTAAACTTTGTGCATCATGTGTTTCATTGCTCAATGGCAATGTCAATGTTTGTTTAATCAACGAGTGGCCAGTCGACTGACAAATCAGGATTTTCCGATACCCTTTTCAGATCAATTTTCAACATATTAACCTCAAGAGCAGCTGAACAAGCAAAACTTAATAAAAAACATTTAATACCTTTTGTAACAATGATTTTGAACAAAATGACCAAAATGAGCATTTTATAAATTTTCCAGTTTAAAGTTAAAAAACGGTGTTTAAATTGTTTAAGAATAAAATTAATAAAGTTGGTTAAAAACAATAATTTTGATTAAAAGTAATTCTCTTAATTTTGAGTAACTTTTACTACTTTTGTAAAACATTTAAAATTCAAAACAAGTTTAAATAAAATTGCTGGCCACTGTTTTTGTTAGTTTCACGCACTAAAGGGCAAACTTAAACATTATTTAACAACTACAAAACACTATTTTGCTCAAGTCATTTTAACAAAGTAATCAGTTGACAGAAAATGCACAATCATGAATATGACATAATTGTCAACTTGTTGTCACCACAGTCTAAGCGAATCTTTTGTTGCTGTAACGCCTGTAGCATCTTTTGTTTCAATCGGAGCACTTCATTTTCTCCCCTCATCTATCGCAAATGTTGATGTTCTTGCACCAGCACACTTGTTCTCGTTTCGGCAGCTTGTCTCTTTCTCTTTTTCTCTCTTTCTCTTTCACTTGTTGTCCTCCCATCTTCTAGTCTTCTTTTTGCTCCCACTTTTGATTTGCTCACACCGAACAACAACTTATTTTTGCCCCATTTTCATCGCTAACTTTTCTTCCTTTCTCTTTCTCTCTCTTTCGTTCTCTTTCACTCTCTTTCTTTCTTTTTGCTCTGTCCTCTGTCCTCTCTTTGCACTCAAAAGCAAGTTTTTTGTTTCTTTTCGTTTGTTCGTTTGCTATGCTTGTTGTGATTTGCACTGTTGCCACTACCTAAAAGCTAAATACTATCTACTGCTTGTATCCACTTGTTACACGTTGTTCTATTTACCACTGTGTTTGTGTTTAAGTTTCTGTTTATACTCCACTTTCTACACGCTTTAGCATTCTGAATTGTTGTTTTTTGAAACACATCAGTTTTTAAAAGTCAATGAATAGCAAAAAATTAAATTAAAAATTTTTTTGGGATTGACGTTGTTCACAACCTCAAATGTTGCTACACTTGCATTAAAATTGAAAAAGCAAATAATGAAGTTGCCTGACTGTACGAAAACTTGCAAGTTGTTTTTAATATGTTATTATCAAACAAGTATTCGTTTAATAACAGCAATCAAAGCAAATAATGCTAATGAAACTGTAATGAAGATGGCTTTTATGAAAGAAAACTATTTTTGCCGGTCAACTAAACCAGCAGTCAATATAGTACAATACATAAGTAAAACAGATCAACTGTCAGCTAGCTGATATTTTTATTTTTATTTGACATTTTTTAAATACATTTTAATTTTAAATTGGTATACCAAGTTCTTAAATGTTTTGTAAATTGTAAGTTTTTAACAAATTATTTAATAACTTTACTAATACTTTTATTTTAGACTTTTAATTTATGCAAAAAGTTGAATTGTATGGCAATTTAAAACAAACTAATTTGATTGACTAACGTTAACGTTTCTGTGATATTAGTTTTTATAAGCAACAATGCTGATATTTGTTTTAAAGTAAGTTTAACTGTTTGTATGATTGTTAATTATATTAATTTTTTTGTTACAGATTTTGCTTTTACTAAAACTCAACTTTAATCAACCGCAATATTTTACCACAATTGATTTGAATATTTGTTTGCAAAAAACTTTTTTTTATTGTTAACAAGTGATTTTTTATCAATGTTTTTACATCATGATTAATATTGCTGGTAAGTTTTTGCATTGTGTATCATTTTTGTTTTTAATTAAAAAATGTTGTGTAAACAAATTTTTATTAATTTTAAAATTATTTTTGTGTTCAGTTTTTAAAAATACTTTTTAAACTTTGTTGTTTATTGTTTAGAATTAATTAAACATTTTTTAATTAATAAAAAATTTGTTAATTTAAAAACATTTATTTATAGATCTCAATAAATTTACAAAAATTTTAAGCAATTAAAAACCGTTTTAAATTTAAAATATTT